GGATGGGTGGGTGAGTGGGTGGGTGAACGGATGAGTGGGTAGATGGATGGATTGCTGGGTGAGTGGGTAGGTGGATAGCTGGAGGCTATTGACAGATGTGTCTGCATAAACAGAAGGCAGTGTCCTAAGTGGCTGATGGAAAATTCCTCTGTCCAAAAGATGTGTCTCACAGGTTGGGAGAGGGAGGGAGTAGAAGTACTTTCAAGGGAGCTGGTGTTTGCTGTAGGTTGGATCTGGGTGTCTGCCAAAGGCCCTTGTGTTAAAAGATCTGTCTTCACCTCAACTCTGTAGGGAGGAAATGGAACTCTTCAGAGTTGGGGCCTAGAAGAGGTTTTTAGGTCACTTAAAATGTGTTCTTGAAGGGGACTGTGGGAACCCCAGGCCCACTGACCTAAGTCAATAGGGTCAACTAATCAGAACATAAGCCTCTAAAACAACATATAGACAAACAACAGAAATTTAGCCCAAACCAGATGCAGAAAGGCACATTTGTCATCCCAGTACCTGGCAGGCTGAGGCAGGAGGATTACTGTGATTTCGGAGGCCAATTTGGGCTACATAGTGAAGTCCTTTAGGAAAAAAAGAAGAAAACAGTAGGAAGAAAATAAGAAAAAAAAAAAAACTAGAATAATTCTCACTGTCTCTTTCTTGCTCTGTCTCTCTTTGCATGTCTATCCTTTCTCTGCCCCTTCTGTGTCTGCCTCTGTCTCTCTCTGTGTCTGTCTGTCTTTGTTTCTTTCTCTCTCACACACACATGCACACACACACACACACACACACACACACACACACCCTATCTTCCTATACGTTCCAAGCTTGTTTTACACTCTTAGGCTAAATAACCTCTTCTTCAGCCTCACAAGTCCCTGGGACTCTACAGATCTATGCCGTGTGGAGTCAAGGGGAGCAATCAAAACTCTTCATGCTGTCTCGGCTGTTACCACAGCAGAAGGCTGATGATGGGGCCTACTGTGTGCTAATAGTTAATAGTCAATAAGTGTGTGGTTGTGTGGTGGGAGAGCTGCGTGCTTCGCGGGTTCGTGCACGCATGCATGTGGATAGATGTGTGTGTGTGTGTGTGTGTGTGTGTGTGTGTGTGTGTGTGTGTGTGCTCTCGCATGGTAGGGCAGTGCATTTTCTGGTGAGACAACTCAAGACCAACATGTAGGTTCACGGTCAGCAGAATCAAATCTAGGCCCCCAGGGTAGAATGTTGCAGAAATGAGAAAGCGGCCTCTCATCAGCGGACACACAGGCCCTGCCTGCTCGCCTTATGAGGAAGCCGTTCACTGGATTCTTCTGACTAGTGGCTTCCAATTGGCTTGGCTACGTCACTTTGGGCAATGGTTTCGGTTGGCTTCGCTAACAGTTTCACTTGTAACCATCACTAAAACCATGCTGCTCTATGGCTTCCGCTTGGCCTGAGTGAGGCTTCTGACTGGCTTGACCATAGTTTCCGGCTGCTTTGTGTTTGGCTTCCTGAGCCTGTGATTCCCAGTTGTCCTTTCAGTTTCTGGTTGGATTAGTCAGCGGTTTTCAGCTTCCTGTGATTGCCCTTCGGTTTCTGCTTGGATTGGCCAATAGTTTACAGCTTGTGTGACCTATGCCTCCTAGTCAGTTTCACTTAGGAGTTCTGGATAGCTTGACCTGTGGATTTCAGTTGGCTCAACCTATTGTACACAGTTGGCTTAACCTATGGCTTTTAGTCAGCTTGACCTGTAGTTCACTGTTGGCTTAACCAGTGGTTCCTAGTTGGTTTGACTATAGTTTCCAGTATGGTGGTTCTAGTGGTTTCTGCTGGGATTGGCCAATGATTTCCGGTTCGCTTGGCCAGTGTTGAAGCCCAGCAAGAATCAGAAAGATGGGAAGAGGGTCCCATAGAAGGACGCTTTCCTTAGCCACCTCCCTATGGTTTCTCAAGCCAGCTGTCCCAGCAGCTGGAGATGACAGTCTCTGGCAAGGAGGTGCTGTCCCTGAGGATTACTCGTTGTCAGAGCAGGCTAGTTCAGCTGAATTAAGGTCATATTTTCATTTTGAGTCCAGGCCCTCAGACTCAGCATGAGGCCCAGGCAGGGCTGAAACCCATGATCCTCCTGCCTCAGGCTGCTGAGCACTCGGCTAACAGGTACATAGCACCTCCTCTGCGTCCTTCTCTCTTGCAGTTCCTCCCTCTTGCCCGACCCTGCAACACCCGTGCCTCAGAGAATCACACCCCTATTGACACAAGCATCTGCCCACTCACAGGTGTGTTCTTCACTTCGCCCTCTCTTTTGGTAATGAATTTCTTACTCCGAAATGTTTCTCAGCTGGCCCTGATGAGCAGCCCAGAGTTACTAAGATCCTGCGTTACAAACACAAACCCTAACTATCAAGCTCCAGCTCAGCGGCAGCATGCTCGGCTCATGCGCAAGAGGCACGGGTGTAACCCCCAGCTCACGCAGTGAGGGAAACTCCAATTATCCAAAAAGTTAAATCCTGCTTTAGTCCCAGCACTCAGAAGGCAGAGGCAGGCAGATCTCTGTGAGGCAAGGCCAGCCTGGTCTACACAGTGAGTTCCAGGACGGCCAGGGCTACACAGAGCCATCCTGTGTCAAGACAAAGAACTAAACAAACATATGTAACGGCTCATCATCCTCGGGGAAAGGAGGACATGCTGGAAGCTGGGAGTGGTGGTGCAAAAATCTGCACACCGGGAGGGAGGAGGAGCAGGGCTCACAGTCCTGTGCTTCACAGCCAGGCCCTCTGCAGGGTGCGTCCATGAACTCCCAACACTAAAACCTAAAGGAAAAAGGCAAGCTCTGGGCTGCTGAGATGCTCAACAACCCAGCTTCATGGGAGAGACCCGTACTGCGGTGGACACATGCTGTGATGCATATAAATGAACACAAAAGTAAATATATATATATACACACATATATTTGGTTGGTTGGTTTTTCGAGACCGAGTTTCTCTATGTAGCCCTGGCTGTCCTGGAACTCACTCTGTACAGAAGGCTGGCCTCGAACTCACAGAGCTGGGTCTGTCTCTTGCCTGGAGAGCTGGGATTAAAGTCGTGCACCACTACATCCTCCTAAAATATGTTTTAAGACCACAGGCTGACACATTGCTCTGAAGCTTTGCCCGGGGCTGTTAATGGGTCAACATGGGGATTGGGCGCCCCCTGCAGGAGACTGGAGTCAGAAAGCAGTAAGAGCATAGAACACTGGTGAAGAGCTGCAAAGAGCAACAGAAGTCCATCTCTTAGGCAGCTACACGCGCCGCTCTAAAAAGCATTAACCATCATCTTCTGTGGAGCTGGGAATAGCGCCCACATTCTATTCAGACAAGGAGAGCTTTACACTTGAGCACTCAGCTCCTCCCTGGGGATTCTAGGCGGGGCTCCAGCCCTGAGCCACGCCCCCAGCTCCTCACTGGGGAATTCTAGGCGGGGCTCCACCCCTGAGCCACGCCCCCAGCACCTGGAACTCACTTCTTGTACTCTTTGCGCACAATGTAGAGAATGTGTATGGCGATGCTGTTGAGTGCGTATGCATTGATTGTGGGCTTCACGAACGTCAGGAAGGTGCTGATCATAGTGGTCAAAACTACCAGGCAGCTGAAGTAGAACCTGAGGGCAAGACGGGGAGGGGGGAGGGGGGGTGAATGTCCCAGAGGTGCTGAAGGACTCAGGGAGGTCACCTTGGGCAGCCAAATAGATTCCATAAACCAAGTACTCTGGGGAGTCTAGCTGGACTTAGGAGAAGCCTCTGGGTTTTCTCGGGGCTACTCAGGAAGGATAGGATCCAAGAAAACCCGGGGGTACCAGGCCGGGACTAAAGAGACCAGAGGTGGGCTGGGAGGATGAAGAGGGGTCAGGGGATTCAAGAGGCCTGGGGTTCAGGCAAGCTTTCAGATCAGAAGATGAAGAACAGGCCAGGCATGATGGCACTCAGGGAGACAGAGGCAGATGGATTGCTGTGAGTCCGAGGCCAGCCTGGTCTACAAAGCGAATCCAGAACAGCCAGGGCTACACAGAGAAACCAGGTCTTGAAAAAAAAGCAAAAGGAAACAAAGACTTTCCAGGCAGTAGAGGGACAGGTGTGTGGAGGTCCAGGGGAATCATAAAGGATCTTTGGGAAACTCTTAGGTGGTCTGAGAGTGAGAAGGAACCGGGTAAAGGGACATGACAGGGTCCACAGAGGGGGCGAGCCCACCGTGTCCACACAGCCCACTCTACCTGTTCCCCTTGGTGAACTTGGGGAAGTAGCAACGGGGCATCCACACGCTGTACCCGCTGGCCAGTAACCACAGGATGGAGATCTCGTCCAGCATCTGTCCCAGGAAGCTCAGGGTCATGTGGAAATACATGGAGAACAGACCTGTGGGTAGGCAGAGGCAAGCAGAGGCAGTTGAGAGGGCTGGCTTTCTCTAGGACACTTCCAGCGCCTCCCACACTCATACCTACCTACGACCATGAAGAGGGCCGAGACTCCATAGACGGCCCGGGTGCGCTTCTGAGCGTACGGATGCATGAGGAACATGATGAGGGGTCCAAAGATAAGGAAGAACACATTGCTGAACTGCGAGAGAAACAAGAACAGGACTCACGAGAGAACAGCGTGGAGGTCCTGTGCACCCAGGGCTCCTCCACAGCTGACCCATTGCCTGGGCAGTCAAGGGACGAACCAAGATTCGTCCATCACCTGACCGTCGTTTCCCAGCTCATCTTTCCTGGTTTTAGGGTTCTTTTTTTTTTTTAAGTTTGTTTGTTTGTTTTGTGACAGGGTCTCACTGTATGGGTGTGGTTATCCTGGAGCTCCTTGTGTAGACCAAGCCTCAAACTCAGAGATCCACCTGACTCTGCCTCCCGGGTGCTGGGATTAAAGATGGGCACCACCACCATGCCCAGCCCCTCCTTTTATTTTTAAAAAACATGTTATTCATTAGGACTCCTGGCCTTTAATCCCAGCCGTCAGCAGGCAGAAATAGGTTAATCTTTATGTGTTCAGCCAGCCTTGTCCACTCAGAGAATCCCAAGCACTGTGTGTGAGACACTGTCACACACAAAAAGTTATTATTATTACTAATGGAATCCTGGAGCTTCACCCCTAACCAGGACCCCAGATGCCTAGCAGGGGAGTCTAGGTAGGAACTCCACCCCTGACCATGCCCCAGCCCCTCCCTGGGGAGTTCTCAGTGGGGCTCAGCAGGCGAGGGTGCTTGCCAACAAGCCTGTTGACCTTGCTTAGATCCCCAGAACCCACATGGTGAAAGCAGGACTGATCCCCACAAGCTGTCCTCTGATGCTCCTCCCACCGTGTCTTCCCGACCATGGGCCCAAACAAACTCTTCCTTAACTTCCTTTTGCTGAGTATTTTTGTCACAGTTACAGCTAACCACGTGTTTCTGACCACCATCCCCACTTCCCCCTCAGCTAGGCCGTGATGTGGCTTGGTCAGTTGTCTACAAGGCAAATCCTAGAGACTAACAGCACCTCAGTCATGCTGATCTGAGTATCTTCCATTGTATCGAAAGTACTTGTCAGCCTCCCTTGCAGCTACGCACAGCCATGTGACTAGGATTTGGTCAATGAAATTCAAGCATAACCGTAGCTTCCAGGTTGTTTCTAGAGGTAAAAGGGGTTTCTCTGGCACGTTCCACTCCCTTTCCCTCCCCTTTATTCTTTTCATTGTGAGACAGGGCCTCACTCTGCAGTCCAGTCTGGTCTTAAGCGAGGCAAACCTTCCAACTCGGCCTCCTGAGTACAGTTGTTACCGGTATGCACTGCCATAGGAGCAGGAATGACAGCAGAAAAGTAGAAGCAGGGGCTGGCAAGAGGGCTCAGTGGGTAAAGGTAGTTGCCTCGAAGGGTGTTGACCTGAGATCAATCCCCAGGACACCAACATGGTAGGAGAAGAAAACTCCTGAAAGCAGTTCTCTGGCCTCCATGGTTCATGCTGTGGCGCACGTGTGTGTGTGTGTGTGTGTGTGTGTGTGTGTGTGTGTGTGTGTACACATGTAAATAAAAAAAAAAAACAGGGAAGGGAATCAAGCCTTGTTTTTTATTGTATTTTCCTTAGTACTTTGAGACAGCCCAGAATGACCTTGAACTCAGGATGCTTCTGCGTCCATCTCACGTGTGCCGGGATGACAGGTGGTGCCACCGTGCATGGCTGAACCAAGCAATTTGATGGTGGTTTTGAATCACAAAGAACCTTCAGCTCTAAAGTCATCTACCCGAGGCTGAGAGAGAAGAGCACTGCATACAGAGGCTCTATTCCCAGCACCCACAAAGCCACTCAAAACCACCTGTAAGTCTAGTTCCCAGGGATCTGGCTCCCTCTCCTGGCCTCCGTAGGAACTGCATGTTCATGACATACATGCAGGCCAACACCCATACACGTAAAATAAACACACCCAAACAATTTAGAACCAGACCTCCTCAGGGGTGCATGACCCATACCTTCCTCCATTGTTCTCCACCTTCTGGTGAGTGGGCTCTCTCCTTAAACCTCTTCGTTTCTGCAAGGCTGCCAACCCATATCTCCACTCTCCCCACACTGGGCTTTCACACATGCTCAGCTATGCCTGGCTTTTCATGCAAGTGCTAGGGATTCAAACTCAGGCCCAGGTGGTTAAAGGGCATGCTTATCCCCCAAGCCATCTCGGCAGGTGTTTTGATCGAAATTACCAGGCAAGGGCACCAAGTCCTGCACAGCCTAGTCCTAGAAACTTCACTGGGACCATGAGGGAATGGAGAAAAGGTAGACACACAGAAGAGAAAAGCTGGGATCAGGTGGGCCATGCTGTCCGGTGGAGAGGTACCAACAGCAGCAACTAAGATTCAGTGCATTTATTTTATTCATCTGAACACGGGAGGGAGGCTCGTGGCCCCAGCTGGGCAAGGGGCTTCAGCTAACCCCCAAAGGTCTCGGTCAGAAAGCAGCCTCAGACTGAGCAGCCCTCAGAGGAGGACGCTTTGCTTGCTAATTTCTGCGCACACTGTCAGCATCCATACTTAGTTCCGAGGAAGGCTCCTCACTCGGGAAGGCTTTGCCACTTCCTTGGGTGTGAGCCGTTGTGGTCCTTGGCACGGCTGCAAGTCATGTCAACCACACACAATCGCTTAGGGCTGTTAAAGCAACTTTTATTCTTTTGTGTTAGATGCCGTCCCTGAGGCTTACCGCCTCCATCTGCTAACCTAGGCCTAGTCCTGGAGGCTTCTCGACTCCACATAGGAGTGGAATGTTTCAGCCTCTGCTGAATGAGCTCACCCTTTCTTGCTCTTTCAGAGCTCTTGTTGGCTGGTTCAATGCAGCTGTTTTGGCACAAACGCCTCTCCAAGCAACTGATTCAATCTGGCTTCTCCCTCAGCCTCTGACTGAATTGCTCTGCTTGGCCTCAAGCTAATTCTTATAATATGTTCTAATCTTCTGGCTCCTTCTCAATCTCTGGTTCTTTCTGTCTTCACCTGTGTCTAGCTTGTTCTCTCTTTAACCTCTCTAAACCTCTCCTAGTAAAACTGCCTCTGAAGTCCACAAACTGAACTGCTAGGAACTCAACTCCACCACATGGCCTCTCAGTTCACTGACTCAGCCTAGCTGCTTGAACAGCACTGACTAGAACTCATATTCTCTGCATGCCTCTGTCTCCTGAGTGCTGGGATTAAAGGTGTGTACCACCAATATCTGAAATTTGTCCTACACCAGGCTGGCCTTGAACTCAGAAATCTGCTTGCCTCTGTCTGCTGGGATTAAAGGTGGATCACAAAGATGTAGAAGGCCAGAGCAGCCATGTTCTGAATTAAAATTCCCCTAAACAGGGCTTCCTCTGACCCTCATGTGTGGAGTCTAAGTGGTGCTCACCACCCATGCAGCTCTCAGGTGGCATCTGGTCCCCCAGCATCCATATCTGACCCTCGAACTAGGCAGTCACCTTCCTAGCATTATTTACCAGGGCTGCAGGACCTGCTGGTCTCAGTGGCTAGTTTGTGTCAGGTTCTGAGCACCTGCCATGCCTGTGGAGCTGGCCTGTGATCCGAGCTCCTGCAGAGACTGGAGAAACACAAGCTGAAGAGCTGCTGCCTTGGGGTCCCCAGAGACAGCTTGGCAGGCAAAGTGCCGTGCATGAGGACCTGAGTTCAAATCTCCAGAACCCATGTAAACCCAGACTCAGCAGTGTGCATTTGGAATCTAGTCGCTTGTGGAGACATGAAAGGGAGACAGAATTGCCAGAGGTGTGCCAGCCTAGCATGCTCAGCTCAGCAGCAAAAAACAGAGATACCTTTGACAAGGCGATACGGCAAGGACTGATGCCTGGGGGTATCCTCTGACCTGCACAGATCACATGTGCTGTGGTGTGTGCATTGCATGTCCATACACACACCTGTTAACACACACACACACACACACACACACACACACACACACACACACATATATATATTTCTGTCCCCAGTGTCTACACCTGACCTGCGGTGTAGACGTCAGGCCAGGCTGATGGCTGAGCAGGTAAAGGCACTTGCTGTCAAGAACCCTCAGAGCCCACAGTGTGGGAGGAAAGAAGTGACTCCCTTAAGCTGCTCCCTGATGGCCACACACACATCATGACATGTGCATGTACACACACGCACGCGTGCGCACCCACACACACACACACACACGGATACATACATAAATAGGTGTAATTTTAAATATGCATCCATATAAATTATACGCACCTACAAGTGGTGCCCAGACGTGGATAGGCATAATGGGAAACTTGGTTTCTCTGTGTAGCCCTGGCTGTGCTGGACTCACTTTGTAGACCAGGCTGGCCTCGAACTCACAGTCATCCACCCGCCTCTGCCTCCCAAGTACTGGGATCAAAGGCATGCACCATCACGCCTGGCAGAAACTTGGTTTCTAATGCCAGAGAGGACACAGCAGGTTACAAAAGAATGAAAATACTGTTTCAGGAGGTTAGCAAAATGGCAGCAGCTACCACGGGGTTCTCTCCCTCTTTTCTCCCACTGGGGATTTTCTGATTTTGCTTCATCATCTCCCTGAATTCCCTTTTTAAAAGTTTGGGAGAATGCTTGAACAATTAGAAAGGTTACGGGTGGATATGGAGGGGTTTGAGAAACAAAAAGTGGGTGAAATAGGAAAACAGAAGTGTCACTAAATTCGAGCATTTTTGAAGGGACTGCAGAGTTGGAGATGCAACAAGAGAGTCTGCAGGTAGGGATGAAAGCACTTGAGAAGCATAATGCATCCAAATTATCTTTAGAAGTTTATTTGCAGAGTGAAAGACCAGATAACAATTAAAGCAAAGCAAGTGGCCCGGGTGATTCCGCCTGCCAGGCTGCCTCAGTTACTCCTTTTTCTCAAGAATTTGCATCAACTTCCAAAGGGCTGGCCCACACGATCAGCCCCACAGAGACTGCACAGAGAAAGATACAGCTAGCGTTTCCAGCATCGGGCCAATATCCCAATTTTCTTAGTGTACCTGAAAGATGTCTCTACCCCCCTCCCCAGGCAGCAAGAAGTAATTTTATGAACATAACACCCACATTCCTGTGGGTGGTTTTGGCCATTTGGTGGGTTATGGATGTTTGTTGTAGAGAGGTTGGTTATAAGGAATAATAATGGAGGTGTTGGTATAATGTTCTTTTAAAATGTATTCACCTTACCCTTGTTCATTCAAATGCTGATTTCTCCCACACACACACTCTCTCTCTGGTTTCAATCCGAATATTGTATTGTGATACTCATTCTAAGCATCCTGTCTCAACTCTTGTGTAAACAGGCCAAAATAAAGCAACTAGATACAATATTGTGCAATGGGAGGAGCTAGAGGGCAGGAAATGAGTGGGAGGAAAAAGGGCGGAGAGAGACCTGTAGGAGAGATCTTGGAACTACGTGGAGATGGACTGGACATAATATTTCACTAAAAGCAAGTATAATAGGAAATCTAAATGTTAGGAAACTATGAGGGCTTGGAAGTTTAGGAGGGAGTAACTATTGCCCAGCATTGTGCTCTAAGTTAACTAAATAAACCTAGTCTCTGTGTGGTGATTTGGTTATACAGCTATTTAGGATTAACAGCAAGTGTTTCTAGAAGATAAATCCATAGTAAATTTTAACCGCCTACAACATGGAGAAAACAAAGTAAAGGTTGGAACCAGGGATCTCTTTATTTCTCCCCTCTATCCTTTTTTCTCTTGTCTTTCCCTCTTACCTAGTGCTAGGGAAAAGAAGTGAATGATGGGGGGGGGTGGTAAAATGACAGGATGAAAGGTAGATTATTGAATCTACTAGTCTCAAATATTTTGCATTGGTATGGATTATTGTATATTGATAGAAATTTAAGATTATTTTGTTCAACTCTTGCTTAATGTATTATAAATATGCAATTCATTGTATATGGATAGGAACATAAGGTTATTTTGTTCAACTCTTGCACTGTATTGTACTTATGCAACTCATTTGAAAATGTGATGTAAGTTCTAGTCTTATGAAAGCTATTGTAAACTATTTAGGATAA